AAACAAGAAGGTTTATCCACTGGGACTTGTAGACCTACTCTCAAAACCAGATGGTTTACATGCCTCATCTTTTCTCCGGGAGATAAAGAACCCAAACATCGTTTCAAATGGAGCTCTTTCCGCCATTCTGGAGAAGCTACCACCACGGGGTCTAAACAAATGGGTTTAGCTTGCCTCGTACTTACATTAGAACAATTTACTCACCTGGAATAATATATTTACATGGATCCACTGTTCCGCAACCGAAGACAGTCAATTCTGGCGTGATTAGGTTCACTGCTTCAAACCTTCCGATTCTCCAGTCAGCTGGAGCTTTTCTGATGTCATTTCACGGACAGCATTGCGCGCGTATAAGCGGCTTTTCCGATGCTCTTTCATGCAGTCTTCACTTGGCCATGGAGACAATTACACTTACATTTGAAGGAATTACTAGTCCACTTTGCGGAGAATAGCATTTTTTCCTGTTATGGACATATTCAGACACAAGAAACAACTGCACTCACCGTCCACCTGACAAGTCCAGCATGGATAGCTGGACACGGGTTGCGAGCCGGACAATATAATAGAAAAAGCCGGCCTCTATTAACAATGTGTTTACTCACCTGCATCATTATCATTCGAATCTGCGACTCTTTTACATCACTGACTGGCTTCAACGACTACTGCCGGAACATTACTAAGCCATTCGGCCAACGAAGGAAGTATTTTGGCTTTTAACCGACTGCGAATAATAGAGTGCAACATCGGTCTATACGATGCATAGCCGACTAGCACTACAGTTCAACGGAAATACGACAGTGTTCCATGACGTTGTGGTTTTTCACCTGGCAAGCCTTCTCCCTATAAAACGCCACAAATGTCCGCTTAACAACACTGCAACCTGGCGGATGTGACTCGCCACAAAATAAAGTCACAGCTATACATTTCACACTGACGCAGTCCTCAGCCTCCTACATCCAATCTGTGCAACTGATTTTACTATGAAGAATGCTTTAGTGGAGTACAGATTATCCCGGCTTCGTAATGGTCATTGATCGCACTAAACCTTGTTTGGGCTCCTGTGCTCATGGATCACTACACGGCAAATTTACCCCCACTTGTATCTTGACGCAACAGTTTCTGCGCGCCACAGCTCATTATGGCCCTTGATCTGACTATTATCTGACGATATGCTCGCTCATATGGACTACATCTTTTCGTTTATTCCTTTCATTGAAACGAAATGTTTTAATATTCCAAATAAGCTATGCTTGTATGCATATTTGATCATGCCTTTAGAGGTGTGTCTCGTTTTACAGAGAATATACCATTTATTTATTTATTTATTTATATATCTGTACACTGTTACAGGCCATCAGCTTTTTGACAGTACTTTTTGATGCGTTCCGGTCCGTCTTTTCGTTTGGTTTCTGCTTGTTTGTTGGCATGTTGCCAGAGAATTTCACAGCTGCATCATCTGGCTAAATTGATCCATCCTCCGGTACTGGCTGATCCATTCTCAAAAACCAACTTGCCTGTACAGTTAATTAAATAACCAAATTTTGGTTATCGGCTACGCGACGCACGGCATTAAACGCATGAGCATAGTAATAGCAAAACGGTTGATCCCAAAACGTGTAAATAGTGTGGTAGGACCTTCAGAGGTGTGGATCCATAACTGCAGGTATGAAGGTAAGTGTGCCTCGTAGGTTTTTAACTTGTCACTATTATCTTGTATGAGTTCGATGGGGTGCCGGTGTCTGAAGAAATGTTTTACGTTGGTGGATTTGCTAAGATTGTCAACGTAAGTTTGAGCACTTCGCCATAATACGAGGAACAATTCATCTTTCTGACGAATCACCTTCCGTTCTACATGGTGTTTCTTGTCATCATTCCGAAAAGATGTAACTTTTACAGGGTCTAAACAAACGGTTCTAGCTAGCTACGCAAACAGAGTATCATACGTTCCTAAACTAGAGGCAGCTACCTTCAGGGATCCTCTTGGAAGCCAGCTTCGTGTGTCACGACTAGCTTATGTTACCATAAACAGGTTTACTGATTCTCACTGGCATTCGAACAATTGGGTTCCGGGCCTTATAATTTTGCAAGCACATTCTGATGTACTATTTAACTGGAGATTTTCCGACGGCAAGTCATGGATAGATTTGCTACTTTTCAATGGTCTTCAGACAAATGGGTTCAGACCCTCCCATTACTTTTTCTTCCGGTTACCTACTGCTGCTGGCATTTCATGGAGTTTTCAATTGACCCTGGAAAAATTATATCTTATAATAACTTACCGTCAAAGGAATCTTGCTCCTTGTTTGCCGGCGTGATACTCTTTATTGTGAGGGTGGCCCGGCCTTATCAATTTGCATATTCAACCTATGTTTTGGAAACATTAAACGGGATCTCTTACTGAACGGCGCAATGGATTCTTCGCTGAAAATGACGAATACAGCCACAAGGACAAACGGCACCCAACGCTACCCCGACAAGTCCAATGTGGATCGCTGGACAAAAGTCTGCACTAGCCGGAAAAACTCGCTACTGCAGGAGTTAGCCTCCATCACCACAAACAAGTAGTCACATGCACATTTCTTCACCTGGTTCCACAACTTATTTCATTACCTTGGACCATATAAAAGGACTGAAGGCGGATCCTGACTAAGACATTCGGTTACCCAGCACAAATACCTGGGTCTCAGTTGAGGACGAATAACCGGGTGAAAATTGGGTCTGTAAAAGTCGTCGCCAATTGAACATTGCACTTCTAGTGCCCTTACGGCAGTGATCCCGGATATGGTGGGTCTGCGCCAGGCAAGCCTTCGTCCGATATAGTACCACAAATATATTCGTTTGGAAACACTGCGACGTGGCGGATGTGAATCGCGAGGGAATAAAGTCAGAACCCAAACGTTTGCACTGGTCTAGTCATCCGAATCTTACGTACAACCGCTGCATCCGCTACATGAAATGGCAAATTCAACTACGTTTACTTTGGAGCATACCCCCAAGCTTACCCTACGAGAGTTTTGGTTGTGCTATTTAGCTCTGCGAATCATTTTGCCATCCAAAAGCAGCTAGGCTTTTATCTATAGGTGCTCACACTTGCGCTGGTTTGCCACACTATCGAGAAAATACCAGTGCATTATTTATTTAGTTAGTTAGGTACGCTTCCGTTGTTTCTTTCGGAAGCATGACCTGGAATAATGAACGTCTAACACCATGCACCTTAACCCACAAGACTTGGCACAGTATGTAGCCACCGCAGCCCATCTTATGCGTGACGTCCGCGGGCAGTATGGCTCTTTGGATGTCCTCGATGGCGTTTACATACGTAGGCAGGAAAATTAAGATCCGTATTTCCGATTCATCGTACCCACCATTACATTGACAGACGCTCGCAAGCAAGTGCACTACAAGTTTCGCTGAGTGCGCCTGAAGGTTCCCCTCCTTTCGCAGCTCATACTCCCACGGTCGGACCGATTTACTCTTTTAGCATAGTGAACACACATACTTTCTCGGTTCGCATGTGTTAATAAAAGACTGCATAATACGATAGACCACAGTTTCGGCGCACGGCAGAAGCAGCCTGTTGTTCACATAGATAAATGGCATTTCTAACTGAATGGCATGCACGTGCACAACCTTGAAAGCTCTTATATTGCAGCTCTAGCCGGTGATGCATGAAAATCTTGGTCAAACAGTCATAACTCTTGTACTTGCATTTAAAAGAGTTTAAGAGTGGTAGTATATCAGCTTGCCATTTGCATGTATAGCCTCTTCGATGGTAGTGAATGCACCTACAATGTACCTAACTGTAAACACACACCGCAGGCAGCACTTAATCTTATATCTTCAGCTACGCTTCAATCCTTAGGACGTCCTATATGAAATGACAATGCGATACACTTACAAATAAATAAATAAAGCTTTCATTATTGACAAGTTGAGGTACACCTTTGCCGGCATAATAATTTTGACGTAATAAAGCGTGATCAAGAATGTGCAAAAATGCTAGTTGTTTTTGTAGGGTTATGCAAGTATGTAATTTTGTGTGTATTTAGCTGTGTAGTTTGTGTTCGTAATTGTGATGCTGCATTCTTGAACGTTTGCTATCATCAGCCGTGTGTGCGTAGAAGTTTGGTGGCTGTGGGCTAGAAAGGATACTCCGAACATCCACGGGCAGCGCTTGTATTCATTGGCGAGTCACATCCGCCACGTCACAGTGTGTTTAAACGGACATATGCCGCTTTTTATAGGGAGAACGCTGACCTAGCGAAAACTCAACAAGTCCTGGGACACTGCCGCCCAACCATGCGCTGGAACGGGATAATCCCGAACCACCCAGCTAGCACCAAGAGGTTTTCGGCAAGCTAGTCAATATAGAACTTCTCAAAGCTGTGCTACACAAGCTGAAATAAGTCAGCACGACAAGCAACAACATCGCCGACAGCCATGACCTCAAGAGAATCCGCCCACGAATTATATGGTGCGTTCAACATTTCACCAGACGCATCAAAGCTCAGGTCACTGAAGTAACCTAGAGTCCTTTTCCATAAATAAAGAGCTCTTGTATCTTAACGTGTTCTTTGCACTTGCTGCACAAGCGCCCAGTTGGCTGCTGTCCACCACGGCAACATCCTAGTAGCATACTTATCATCGACTGTTGTGGAGCACTGTCCGTTAAAGTTAGTGTGATAATTGTGTTCCATGCCTAGATACAATCAATGTTCGAACACTTATTCAATTCCAGGATCAAAGGCCCGCTCCACGTACGAAATTTTACTTACACCTGGACGTCGACTTAGAGTAGTGTTATTACCATACAAATGGCATTTCAAATCTCCATGAACATGCCGGCGGCATTAAAAATAGCGCCCTGTGCAGTTTTCAAAAGCCAACAAATTATTTAATAAAATTTATACTAATAGCGATTGCGCAAAAAAGGCACGTGATTTTAGTTTACTCACAGTTTACCTGCGTGTTTTAAACGTTCACGCTTAGTCTTGGTTTAAGGTCGCTTTTGCGTTTATTTGTGTGGGCGTTTCGTATGATGGACAATTTAGGTAACTTATATTTCGTTAGTTTAGTTGCGGTTGTGCTCAATACAGATACATAAAAACGAGTTTGTACGATACAGCTTATGCTAAGCTATTTAATGCATTTTTGTTTGCATTAAAACGGTTACCATGGCATAAAATGAAGGCAACGTATTCTTCTCTGTACTCATGATTAATACAATTTAACAGAAAGGCATTTTTTACGGCTATTAAATATAGTGATGTTGTCCACGACATTTGTGGGTTCCAGTTAACAGCATGATGGTGCACCTGGACTCTTAGAGACTCGTGTTCGCACAGGTGGCCAATGTGTACACGTTGGAGTGAAATTTGAACATCCCTGAGTGCCTAATTATTGAAGTACCGGTCGTCCTACTTGGAAAGTTTGGACTGCCTTCTGTCACACACAATATTCTCTTTCAACCGAGCCTTACAGTGAACAGTGGATGCATTCTTCCAATTGCCAAATACCATCCAGCTTAAGTCGAAATCAATTCCGGAACGTATGACTAGGCAATAGTATGGCCGTTAAGCTAAACTAAAAGGTCTACTAAATGACCAAATTTCCTTCCGTTTAGCATGACCTTTGATCACACGGGATGTTTTATTTGCACTCCCTTTCCGTATACCTTAAATGAATTTTTCCTGGCTGCAAATATTCTCATGGTTAGGCTGAAATCAATCCTTAAACCGTAGGTAACTAATACCATAGCGTATAAGCTGTACGAAAAATGTTTACGTATGAATAATATCATCCAAAACGTGTTTGGAAGGTTAAAGGCACAAATTTGGCTACGCAGGGAGTTCCAACATCAAGTACACTGACTGAATTTCTTAAAAGGTAATATCTTTTAAGCAAACATCGAAACTGATAAAGATCTATCAGCTTATTTAACCGCATAGCTGGACCTAACACACCATTTATTTTCATCTTAACCTTTTGCATTTGCGCGACCAAAAACTTGTTCAAATCGGACGGCTGGCCTTCCGTCTGTGCGGACAGCGTTCGACATCATTGTTTTGTCCACCCAGATGGACAGCAGTTCGTGTCAGCAAACTGTATTTTTGATTAGCTACCTAGGGTAGAAAAAAATATAAAAGAAGGAGCCTAATGTCTAACATTTGATTAAGCGTTATAACTTATCTACTACAACAGGGTGCTAAATATACATTTTCATATTTAATACCTAACGACTGGTACCGGTCTATAATGATAGGTGTTTACATTTCAGTGGAATCATACTTTCAGTCAGCGTGATTCATTATTAGACACGCGCCGTATGGTTTGCAGTTGTTCACCCAACCTTCCCAGATAATGTGTGGAACGAATTTTGATCAAACAAAAACTAATGTGTAACCTTACGATTTAAGAATTATACTTTTTGGTGTAGCTGGAATTTGCAACAAGTTCAAGTGCACTCAGGGCAAGGTAAGACTGCGCCGGAAAATAGCTCTTGGTAACCGAACTTCGTTCTAAAAGTATCTCACTTGTACCACGCGAAGGCCCAATATGTGGGCACCCGGTACCCTCCAACCGTTACTTTGGCTGAAAGCTTTTGTCACTTACCTAATGCAGGTCATTGTTATCTGTCACCCAAAGGCATGAAATAAAAGAATAATGTTAAGAGTACAGATGCTTCATTGTAAACTTCATTGTCAAAGCAAGCAATCACTCTCCATGCGTAGTGTTTGAATACTACAATTTATTCCCAACATAAATTGTGTCTTAAGGTTTATTTCTAGGAGGCAATACAAAGCATTTGTTAAATATCGATTGATGGCTAAGCGCTAGGTAGCTGGATTATGCCTAATATTACCAGTGAATTACTTGAAACCGGATATAAAATAGCGTGGCGCGATAACCGTGAAGAAATAAGCTGAGGATGTGGTTGCAAAGCAATAGCGCATGAGTTAGTGCCACAGATAAAGGAACGTAATCTATAAGGATAAATCAAGTTTAGCGATGTAGAATATTGAGAGAATAAACGATCAGGGTCCACTATATATTAAGAAATCGATGGACATTAGATGAGCGATAGATTTTTGTAGCGCTGGCCTTTAAAATATGGCAACTTTCAGGTCAAAGTTTTGCAAGCAGAGTGAATTTACGATTAGGCTTGATCAAACTTTGTTAAGTACCTGCTCGTTTTCCCTTGAACTGAATAACCGGGAAGACTGCTTCCTTTCTGTAAATAGAATACTAAGTACAAACATAAGTAAACGCTTGCTGCAAACAATCAAAATACCTGATTTCAGAGGAGCCTGTTGAAATGTTTTCGCTTAATATTTTAAAATTTTTCTGTAGGAAATTCATGCAAGAAATATTTTAAGTAACGCCCCTCTGCATACACATTACGCTCGCTTGACTTGTTTAGAAAAATTACGCTGTTGCATCTCTTGTGTAAATATCTACAGTAAATGTCTTTGGACGGTTGTTTACCATCGCCAGGTTATAAAAATCTTGCGAAATGGCCTATTGACAGTAAACTAACTGAACTTGAGATGGTTGACCATATCCCATATTGTTGCCTGCAACCGGCGCATTGCTTAGTTGAACGCCAGGATACGATGTGTCCAACGAGTCCTTAATAGCCTGAGCCTTTCGTATTGTACAAAAGGATTCAAGTGCCTTCAAAATTTGCTACTAAAATGTGAGTGAAGTAAGAAACAACGGCCTATGAGCGGTATGTCAGCTGGATGTATTAATGACCAACTACCAGTAGGGCTGGAGAACAATGTGCTAAAAGTTACCACCATTGCATTAACTTGCTCTTAACTTGCGACCTTAGTTTTAGTGTTCAGTTTTGCAGTACCACCAAAGAATTGCAACAGAATAGGGATTAAAGTGCAGTTCAAACATTTCTACGAGCATTAATCCAGTTTGACACCAGTCACCTATGATGAATGCGGTTGCTTTAAGATTAAGGCTTTAAACTTACCCAACCAGTTTTGCTTTGCTGAAACTCAACGGTGCAGTATTTTAACCTAGGAGTACCGTGAATCATTAGACCACCTTCAACAAACAGAGAAAGTGGTAGTATTAAAAGATGGTAAGGGATCGGGAGTGGTCGTTATGGAAAACCGATATTGTATTGGAAAATGTATGCTTTTATTGCAGACAATAGCCGTTTTGTTCGCGACCTAACTGCTAGCGATAGCACCTAGCAGGTTGAGGGATCCATATTTTGAGAACCTATAAAGCTACTGAAGACAGGATCAATTGATGCATAGGTCATGAGACAATTGCACCCGTGTAAGGCTCGACTATCCTATATGTATAGTTTGCCGAAGAAACACGTGGTGGGCATTCCGATACATCTACTCTTATCAATGGTAAATGTGCAGAATATTATAAACTGGCACGTTGGCTACCCGAGCTGATTAAACCTATCCGGTTTTCTATCCAGTTTACTTTCAAAGATACGATTGTTTTTGTCGACGAAATACCGGGTTTAAACTTAGATGGCAAATACATGGTCTCTTGTGAAGCATGCTCAACTTTTACTAACGTCTCATTAGCAGAAACGTCAGACATCACCGGTGCCCATGCTGACAAGTTTGGGTTTCCAGCCCATCATCTCAAGTCTACTCCATCCGTGCACCAAGGACATTTGATTCCAATTCAGCGGAACGTTATACCGTCAGGCCGGTGACGTAACCATGGGAAGTCTAGTTGGGCCAGTACTGGATGACAGTTCATGAGCTACTTGGAGCGCAAAAAACGACGTCCTTACTTATGAAAGGTTCATCTGTACAGTAGATATCTTGACCTGACGTTCGTTGTAGTTGCTACCCCACAACAGGCAGGAGCTTTGTTTCAAGTACTGAATATATGCCGCCCTGCGATCAAATTCACAATGAAAAGCAAGGTGGACAACATCTTCCACTTCCTGGGTGTACACCTGAAGAGGAAAGGATAATGCACCCGCACTAGGTCTGTGTACCGAAAGCCATGTTTGGAAAGAACAATATATGAACTTCAACAGTTTCGGTCCAATAAATTACCAAGGAACATTGGTCCACTCTGCCTTAGCACAAGCCCGCAAAACTTGTTCCGAGGATACGATCGACAATAAACTAGAACGCGTGTCATGAGCGCTACAGGAAGACGAATACATAGCAAGCTCCATAGCTCAGTAGACAAGAGCAGAAAATAATAGGAAAACTTTGAGAAGTGTCCACAATTAAAAAGTGTACATAGCGCTGCCATTTAAAGGCGATCAACATGATAGACGAATCCGGCACCGCTTCCGCCAGGGAAATATTATTACGCGGCCAAATTAATGTTATTGCACCAAATTAGTAAGTTGCTCAGCAAATCCAACATAACCAAGCCACATCCACACGTTATCATCACTTGTGTTTATCTATACCACCGTGCTTATGGTAGCAAGTACTTTGGCCGAACTGAGAGGTGGCTATCCACTAGGAGTTGAGAGCATGAAACCTGATCGCGAACGGTCTCAAACTGTTGGCTAGCTTTACTGCTCAGCACGTTCTGGCTTACACGAGACGTCAAAGTCCTCGTTATTTGTTTAAAGTAATTAACCTACAGTGTCGTGCTCGATTGCTTCCGTTTGTCAAGGCCTTAGTCTATTTGGCGGCTTAAGCCTAATTTGTGCTGGCAGACTGAACTTACGTCCAGTCAGGCGCTACCTTGGTAAGGTTATTGCTCGTTTTCCTTTGAACTGAGTGACGTTGTTCATTGCTACCCTTTGGTACGCAAGGCAATCATTTCACGAAAGTGTGTAAAAAGTTGATGTAAACATTCGAAATACCTGAATTCAGCGGAGCCTGTTAAACCGTTTCTTCTTCTTGCCATTTTGAAATTTGTGGATGGAAACTCCTGCATGTAAAGACAAGCAACTTTCTCCAAATAGTCGAGCGTTACCCTGCATATGTATCACAGAGGCATAATACTGCCAATATCGCGTCACACTGAGCGCGCATCTTGTTCACTTGGGTAAAAGTGCAAACCATCCGGGAAATTTTGTTACACAGGAAAT